AAATGTTTCGGCATTTTCAGAATCCATTGATCATGCTAACCCTTCATTGCCAAAATGATTTTTTTTTCTTTTTCTTTTTTTTGTTTGTACGCTGTGGTATTTTTTTATATCTTTTTACACATCTCATAAGCATTTATTTATGTTAGTTTTCAAAGGTGCTTTCGCCTTTGTTACGTTGCATTACACACATTGACTCATATTGAAGTTGATCCGGTTCTCGTTGAAATGAAGGTTCTATAAATCTTCCGCGATTGTCCTAAGTGTGCCAAAAATATTCTTTTATACATATATGTGTGCCTGTGTGTGCATATACATATATATATATATATATATATATATATATATATATATATATATATTATATATATATATGTATGTATGTATGTATGTATGTATGTATATATGTATATGTATATATAATCATACATACATACATACATACATACAGACACACATGAATATATGTATATATATATATATATATAATATATATATATATATATATATATATATATATATATGTCTATTCATATATGTATATGTATGTATAAATATACATATAAACAAGGGCTCTCTGCAATGCCAAAATCAAAGGTAATTTAGTACGTAAGGACTCAGCTAAACGCAAAAGGTATTTCATAACTGCGAGTATGACAAGCCACAACAACACCAATAATCCCCAGAGCCGTAGAATACCGTAGAACAACCCCTATGCTAACTCTGCTCGGTGCAAAGTGGGTTCACACGAGGTTCAAGTAGGCTGTGTCGGTGCTTCCAGGTCGCCCCGCTCGGAATAGCCTGAGCGAGGGAGTCTCACCCGTTGTCCTCATCCATAGGCAGTTATCGCATAGTCTTAGTGGATTGGTTGTCGTTTCAACCACAGGAAGCCAAAAGCGAAATACACGTAGTGGTGTGTGTGTGTGTGCAATGTATGTATGTGGTGCTAGTGTCTCTAGTATTATTATATATATATATATATATATATATATATATATATATATATATATATATATATATATATATATATATGTATGTGTGTGTGTGTGTGTGTGTGTAAACATACATATACATATATGTTATATGTTATGTAGTGTGTGTGTGTGTGTGTGTGTGTAAACATACATATACATATATGTTCATGTGCGTGCATAAGTGTACGTGTGCTTGCGTGTGTATTTTGCTCTGTCAGTGCATCATGCCGAACAGTATGCATGTGCAACTGCAACCTTCATATATTTTATATATTGCCAGTGCGTATGTTTCTGTATACATACATACAGAAACAGTTCTTTTGGTATAGTTTACCATTTGGTGTTTTTGTGTCTTTACCTTTTTTTGTATTGACGTGAAATTTATTTTATAATAAAGTTTATACATGTGATGCCTGATATTCATTTTAATCCCTTTTATTTCGTTGTAGTTCCGTAGAATGATTAGAGAAATGGTTTAAGCAAATAAGTTACAAGTGAATATCTAAGTAACATCTTTCTGTACATGTACTGAAGAATCGAGAGACGAAAATGCATTTTTTTTCTGCGAATCTCTTTTTGCAGATTTTTGTTATTGTATCGTCATAAATATCATTATTATTTATCACCTATCATCATCATCGTCATTGTTCTCGTATTTTTTTTTTTTTTTTTTATCTCTCATACATCCTAAAAAAATATTCGCATCATCCTCCCATACATCAAAAACATATGATCACCTCTCTCTATCTCTGTCTGTCTGTCTGTCTGTCTCTCTCTCTCTCTCTCTCTCTCTCTCTCTCTCTTCTCTCCCTCTCCTCTCTCTCCCTCTCTCTCCTCTATCAATTCATTTAGTACGAGGTCGATCATCTCCTCTGCCTTTTCCCGGGCTCTCGAGGCTCGGAATTCGTGGGGAAAAATAGTTAAAGAAGTGAATATCTAAGCAACATATTTCTGTACATGTACTGAAAAATCGAGAGACGAAAATACATTCATCTTTTTCGACCTGCTTTGGCTTGCAGATCGTAGCTATAATTACTATTATCATCACTTTTATTTTATAAAAAAAAAAAAAAAAAAATCGCATCATCCTCCCAGACATTAAAAAATATATGATCACCTTTCTCTCTCTTCTGTTTCTCTCTCTCTCTCTCTCTCTCTCTCTCTCTCTATCTCTCTCTCTCTCTCTCTCTCTCTCTCCTCTCTCTCTCTCTCTCTCCCTCTCCCTTCTCTCTCTTGCCCTCTTTAACAATTCATATAATCTTATCTACGGGTGAATACGGGAGCGATCATCTCCCTCTGCCTTTTCCCGGGCTTGGGTCTCGAGGCTCGGGGAATTCGTGGGGGAAAAAGTAGTTAAAATCGATAAAGAACACCCTACCTCTCTCCTGGCAGGGACTCAAGTCGACTTCTCGTTCCTCTCGATCTGCTGTTACAGGGTTCTCTGGTTGAATTAGGTGGACTTAACTTTTGACTTGGGTTATAAAAGATGAGGAAAAAAAACAAGTTCCCGCCATTTTTCCTTTCAGTTTGGGGGAAATATACGTTCGTTTTGTTGGCCATGTCGTTCCTGTGTTGTATAGGGGGGGACATAACCTTTGATTTAGGTTAGAAAACATTTTTTTACTTAGTTTATAGCCTGTTCTTAGACTGTTGTTGATCCATGTTCCTCTCGATCTGCTGTGTAAGGAAATTTGACAAGAATGATAAAAGATCTTTCAGCTTTAGAGTGTTTTTTTTTCGAGTTTTGGGGCAAAATATTCAGTTCTCTTGATCTATGAGCCGTTCCCTCGTTCATCTGGATGCGTTGTATTGATTTTCTTTCGTTGAATTAGCTGGATTTAACTGTTGACTCAAGTTTTAAAGGTATATCTGTGTGCGTGTGTGCGGCGTTAGTGTGTGTGTGTGTGTGTGTGTGTGTGTGTGTGTGTGTGTGGTGTGTGTGTGTGTGTGTGTGTGTGTGTGTGTGTGTGTGTGTGTGTGTGTGTGCGTGCGTGCGTGTGTGTGTGTGTGTGTTCCTCTTAATCTGCTCGTCTCTTTAGCGTGGGTCTTCGCGAGGTCGATCAAAGGGGGAGATTAGATTCATGGGTTAATTGAGAGCGACTGATGGACGAATTTTTGAATGCCGGATTATTAAGGCCACAAGAATGTAAGTTCCTGTTTGGCGTCCGGGCAAAAAGGAACATTTATGAGGCTGTTTTTCTTTATTCATTATCTACTTCTGCGAGCATTTAAAGCCTTATGATTTGCTTTTTTATCTTTTTTTTCTTTTTTTTTCTTTTTTGCTGAAAAATAGCATGAGTATCGAGCAACCTTGAGCCCTCTCCCAGCTATTCTCATACCCTCATAAGTGTATTCTTGTAAGTAGGCCTACACATCAGTCATATCAGGGCTTGAAAACCACGCTGAGCCCGATGCGTTTATTGTGCAGATATGACGATGTTGATGCATGGAAGTATAGCTTTTGGGATGTTGTGTGATTTTTTTAACGAATAATGAAATTTATTGAAAGTCATGACAGGAACTTTAATTCTCATGGCCTAAAGGAAGCTTCACTGTTGTTGTGATGGCGCTCATTAGCACAGATATGAAGGCATATGGTCATGCATATACGTATAAATAAGATCTCACACGTTTAGATACATGCACACACACGCGCGCATTTTGAAATTTCGGTTACACGAACGCTTCTTAGATATAGTCCCCTTACATTCCTTTCTCATCGAAATGTATAGAAAATAATACCTAATAAAAACTCCTAGCACAATTTCATCCACATTCTCTTTAACTTACCAACTAAATCTATCCTGGAAATAGAATACAGATATTGCCGTTAATGATTCGTCTTTCTGAGGAACGCTTTCATTACGCAGACTGAAAATAAGCTTTTCTTCTTTATTTTTTATTGGCTTCTTTTATCTCCTTTTCTTTCTTTTATTGTATGCGCCAAGTTTTTTTTTTTTTTTCTTCTTTTTATCGGGAACTGCAGTCCTACAGCTCAGTGAAGCAATTATTTTTTTTCTGGTGCACTGATACTTACTCCGTTTTCTATGGCTTCCTCTGGCGGTAATCCCACAACATGGCCTCAACGAGACTCAAATTACAAAAAATCCTTCTACTAATCCTCTAAATCTTAGTGTAGATGATAATTTGATTATTTCTTGCGTGAACACTTTTTTTTTCCAAAGCTATGAATGTTACATTAATACGATTACTTGAGAGATATGAGACAAAGAACTGCATTGGGGATTTTTACTTGGTTTCGTTATAGACAAAAACTGATGGTGATAATAATGATGAGGATTATCATAATGGTGATATAAATAATTATAATGATAATAGCAACAATGATAATCATCATCATTGTTATTACTATTGTTATTATTATTGCTGTTGTTAATATCATCATCTTTATCACCATCACCATTCTCATTATTATCCTCATAAGTATCATTATGATAATAAAGTTATACGATAATTCTACTCTTGTGGGTTGGAAGTTAAAGGAACTACAATCGTCTTTTCGACACCACAAGCATACACGTGTCGCCCCGTCCAATCTTTTTCCTGCTCAGCATACACAATAAAACCTTTCTGGCTTGACAATCCGCTCTGCAGCGATCAATATCATTTAAGTTTTTTGTCCCCGCGTCAAAGCCAACACAACCAGTCTTAGCTGTAAGTTTTGTAAGTCATTTAAGTAAAAATATGTGTGAATTAGGTTATTACCCTACCACGCCACACTA